CCCTCAATCGTGAATGTGTGCATTCGGTGTGGTTGGTCGATTGGAAGCGTTGTCGAGCGCTACGTTCACTACGATGGGGCCGGCGACCAGTACGTTGGCCGCGTTGTTGCAGGGCTCCCACTGGGCAGCGGCGACTTTGCGACTCTCCCACCCCACTTCCTCCCAGGGAGCGAGAGTACCGTCGAAGCCACATGCATGCTTGTCATCCCACGGCTCTGGGCGCACCCATCGCTCCGTGGCGTATTGAAAATGTGCTTGGCGTCCATGGTTTCCACATGACCTTCCTTATCAACGCCCTACCCTCCAAGCACCCCTTGCTCGCGTCGATTTTGTTTTGTGACGTCCAAATGGCCGCGCATCTCCGCTCCAAAGTGACCTTGCTTTCAACCACCATGCAGCCGACGGGCATCCCACCTCGCGTTGGCCTCCATTTGCAGCTAGAGACGAACTTGGAAGCTATCCGCGCGCTCCCAAACGAAGTTCGGGAGGGTGTTGCGAAGCTTCTCGAAGACAAAGGTGTCACAGCAGGCAACATTACCCAGTCCTTGCTCGAGGAGTTCTTGAAGAAGTCCGTCAACGACGTGTTGGCGACGACACAGCCACTCAATACCGTCACGATCCCAGCCGTATCCGACAACTTGCCCGTCCACCCTGTTCACTTCTGGGGTGGCCGGTGGCACCTGCTCCCTGAAGATTTCGAGCTGCCATCCGTTGATGTGGCCACTGGCTGGCACCTTTGGTGGTGCGGGTCACAAGGCCGGGGGGTTCCTGCTCTGTTCAAACTACACTCCAGGGACTTGACGAGGAAGCATGCCAAGATCCTTTGCGAATGGAGCTTTGCAGTTGGTGAGTTGCAGCATTGCTACAAAACTGCGTTGGGTGACAACATTCCAGGCCCATACACCTCGCCAACAATTATTGCTGCGTTCAGTACCATCACGGAGAACTTGCCGCTGTCTTGGGACCGGACTCAACTCGGACGTCAGCGTCGTTTGTCTCAAATGAAGATGGTGACATTTGCGCGTCTAGCTAGAAAGCGCCGTCGAGAAGCATATTGTCGTAGAATGCCAAGTCTTGCAATTCTGTCGATTTAAGCCAATCACAGATGAGTAGGACCGGTTGTCCGACATTATTCCATCACAACACATTGTTTTTGGTTATAGCCAATCAACAAGTTAAAAATGTGAGGCTTTCAACCAATCACGAAAATGTCATATCAGCCAATCAAAGTCTGTTTGGGTATGCGTTCCACCAAAAATTACATCTTCAAATTTGACTCGAGGACTGCACGAATGGGGAAAACACTGGTCACGAAGGACGACAATGGGGACTACCGTTGCCCAAAATGTGACGCCAAGTACAACGAAAACCAAAAAGACGCTTTGCGCATGCACTGCGCCCGGCAGCACTCCGGCGAGTCTGTCGTCTTCAAGGCAACACGATCGGCTGCTGAGAAGCAAGCGATGCCCCGCGAACGAAAACTGAAGTGGGAGGCCAAGCAAACGGCAAAGTCTCCTGTGAAAGCTCCACGCGAATTGTTCACGTTGCGTGATGCGAAAAAGCGAGGTGTCTATGGGGCTCAGAAGCCAATCGTCTACACCGCCGAATCGACGATTCCAAACGCGGGAATCGGCGTCTTTGCTTCTCAAACGTTGCTTCAAGGGGACATCGTGCCTGTCTACGAAGGTGACCTCGTGGAAGAATTACCATTCAATATAACGTATGTGCGCCAATTCCACGCGAATGACAAGACGTGGTGGGTCGACGGCCTTCGTGTGCTAGAGGAAGGAAAGGCGTCGGATCGTTTGTCAACCGTCAATCGTGCCAACTCGGTTTTCACAAGAACTGTGAGTATTTTCAACAGGGGTGAACTCTGTGCATTCAAGTGACCAAGACGATCAAGACGAACAAGGAGCTCTTTGCTGTGTACGGCAAGCGGTACAGATTGTAGGGATTGTAACCTGCATTAACATGCATGAATTGTGTTTTTTTTACGCCTTCATGTCACCAGGGGTCTCTTGCGGAATTTGAATCATAATTGATACTGAAATCTTGCACGCCAGTCACCTCGTTTTGCCCAACACTTTGTCATCGGATAGAATGAATGTACTAGTGGAATTGTATGGTGTTGCTACAGGACTAAAGAGTTGAACCTATGAGCTCACAATTGTAGCCATCGACACGGTCCAAATTTCACCGATCAGTTGACGGCTTTGGCTGGATTGACTAATTAGCGACTGTTCGAAAAAGCGTTCCAGTTGTGAAAATAACATCTTC